TCTAAGCTAATACACCATCACCCATTCAAAGTTGTTTATGCTAGAAAATTTAAAAGACATCTTTTATCCTTGCATTTCCTTTATAAACTATATCAACAAATCCTTAAAATCACCTCTGTCGTGTGCCTTATATTTAAAGGAGTATCAGCCCAATTCATCACCTTCACCTAGATAATTTTAGCTTTATTCCTGTCTCCAAGTTCTTCCTACTCCAGTCTATCTATCACACTACACTGCTCATAGAAGAAAGTTCTGAAATACAAATCTGACAGTGTTGCCACTTTGCTTAAAACTTGGACCACACTGGACCAAGTTTTTAAGTTTTTCTTCCATCAACTCCTCTCACCTTTGTACAGCCCAGCAGATCCTAGAAAACTGACACACAAGACAAGATAACCAAAAAAAAGCACAGATCTGAAGGAAGTGTTCACATAGATAATCATCTCATATTCGAGCTTAGAGAAGGAGTAAATGTAAAAAACTTTACAATTGGGAGGTACAAAGTTAAAGAAAAATGATAAAGTTCAGCTTTGGAAAAACTGAAGTGTAAGGAGCAAAATTGTTATTCCCATGTTACAACTCTGCAACTTCCCAAGTTTCCAAAGCTGCAAATAATCTCTTTACTGTACTATTTATACCTCTAATAATGTAGCTTTCTAATTTGTTTCTAACTTGGATTTCTTTGTCTAGATACTCATCTCCTACCGGTATCTATTTTGCTTTTCCTTAGGCATATCACCACCCTAAGATAATACATATGATATTACCTTAGCAGTGATTATGTTAATGTCATATATGTTGCAGATTTTTATACAATGAATATGTAAATGTTTATTATTTTTATAGAGGCCTGGTGCACAAAATACATGCACAGGGGGGGTGTCCCTCAGCCCAGCCTGCACCCTCTCCAATCTGGGATCCCTCTCACAATCCAGGACTGCTGACTCCCAACTGCTTCTGCCTGCCAACCTGATCAACCCCTAACCACTCCCTGCCAACCTGATTGATGCCTGCTTCCCTGCCAGCCTGCCAGCGGGTGGCAATCACTTCGTAAATTATATGAATATCTAACTACTATACTGTATACCTGGAATTAATATAACACTGAATACCAACTGTAATTGAAAAAAAAATACAATTTTAAAACAAAGAATAAAAATATTTTAAGAAAATGACTTTAAATTAATCTACAGTTTCAGTATTCATCTTGCTATCAAAAAGGGTACCTTTATATCCCAAAGTCACACACTTAACCAACTTCACCTAAAGCTAAAAAAGAGCTTCTGTACTTTGATAATCTGAACTACAGTGACAGCTTAAAAAAAATTTAATGGCCTATTAGCCAAAATTTCACTCTAAGTTAATAACCAAACATAGCATCCAAAACATACATACTTGGGATACATTTTAATAAAATAATCTGAAGATTTAGTGCTAAGTTATACTAACATGATTTTCTAAAATAAAGAGACAAATGAGATAAAACTTAAAGGTCTTTTTATTCCATGTTTCCAAATATGAATTCATCAACTGTATAAAAAAGTAACTGCTTATTTTTTATAATCACTTTACTCAGATTTATGCTTTTGGATCTCAATCCTTTACAAATTGCTTAAGTTTTACTATGCTTGAAAATAAAACTATTATAATTAACTAACTTAAAAATGGAATCATTTTGTCAATTACTCAAAGGTTGAATTCAACACAAAACTATAATACCTAACATTCTAATTTTAATCTGACAATAATTTAAGAGTTCCAAAACAATTAAGTCTCCTGTCTTTCTTGAAAATTAAAAATCAGTATTTCTGTGGATTCCAAACCTTGTATTTTAATAAATTCAAGAATTTAAAGGAAATTTTAAATTTTTTCTTGAAACACAGTGCCACCTGTCAAATATCTTATGAACTATTACCACTAAAGTTACGTGGGGTACTACGGAAAAAAATATTAAGATACATCACCTCACAATGTTTGGAAACTTCTGTAATATTTAATTTTAAAGTAAATTTAAAGTAACCTCTTTATTTGTTTTGAAACATATTTGTCAACCCCTGAACTATTTAAAAGTAGTTTAACAATCTAAAAGTTTAAAAAAGCAAACAAACAAAAACACTTTTTTAAAAATCCTCACCCAAGGACATTTTTCCCATTGATTCCAGAGAGAGCATGGGATAAGGGGGAAAGCAGGGAGGGAGAGAGACATCCGTTGGTTGCATCACCCATGTGCCCCGACTGAGTATTTAACCTTCAACCTGGGTATGTGCCCTGACCTGGAATCAAACTGGAGCACCAAATGCACAGGACAACACTTACCACTGAGCACACCATCCAGGGCAAACGCAAACACACACACACACACACACCCTCACTTCTTAACACAAATTCCTCTTTTTTTGCTAACCCTACCTGAGGATATTATTTCCATTGATTTTTCTTTTCTTTTCTTTTTTTAGAGGGAGGAAAGTGGAGACACACACAAAGAGAAACCTCAATGTGCAGGGCTGGGGATCGAGTCTGCAACCGAGGTACGTGCTTTTGACTGGAATTGAACCAGAGTCCCTTCCGTCTGAGGGCTGATGCTCTAACCACTGAGAAACCAGTTAGGTCTACACAAATTAACTTCTAAAGTTATATTTATTATGGCTTTCACAGTATAGTACTGGGATTAAAAGAGTGAAAATAGCCGAAACCGGTTTGGCTCAGTGGATAGAGTGTCAGCCTGTGGACTGAAGGGCCCCGGGTTTGATTCCGGTCAAGGGCATGTACCTTGGTTTGCAGGCACATCCCCAGTAGAGGGCATACATGAGGCAGCTGATCGATGACTCTCATCAATGTTTCTAACCCTCTCTTTCTCTTCCTCTCTGTAAAAAAATCAATAAAACATATTAAAAAAAAAAAAATAAAGAAAGAAAGAAAGTATATCCCATCTCTCCGCCTAAAAAACCAATTCATACAGTTGTGCAAATACAAGGTAATTTTGTAAATTCCTCTTTATTCAACATTTTTTTTCAATGATAAGCTCTTTCCAATTAAGTATTCTGTTCACCAATCAAGTGGTCCTATATTTCCCTGACCCTACTTGTGAGTATAAATTAGTTCCATCCAAGGACCCATCTCAGACATAAACAGGAATTACCTGTATTTCACTTTTTGTCACGAAAGTCACAAAATCCTTAAGTCAGAGGGACCTTAAGATAAGTTGATCTGCAAAAGGGCTGCTGAAATAGGAGAGAAAAAAGCCCCTCACAGAATTTCTAGGGGACAGAATGCCCTGGTTCTAAGAAGGGCAGACTGAGAACTAGAAGAAACTGAGCTCCAGGACAGGCTGTTTCAAATATTAATGACCACAAGCATCCCAACCTGGATAGCTTTCCTCATGTATAAAACAAAAAGGACTACAGTAGAATTTGGATCCGTTACTAGACATCCCTTGAAATCAAGCCAGAGATACAGATTCCCAAGATTATCCTGGAGATTCTGAACTAATTCAGTAAGCTGGAGTTGAAGATCATAATCTGTACTAGAGATTGAGGCACACAGCCAGGTTTGAGAACTGTGACAATGCTTTAAGTTGTCTTACTAGTATGCAAGAATCAGTCAATGCTTTTACTAGTAACTCTGTCTTGATGTGTACAGGTACAGATGATAATTTGTTTATCTACAAATAAACATGCTAAGAATGGTGGAGTGGAAAGACAGAATAGACACTAAGGAGATCTAGATATAGTGAATTTCCTTGACTGCTTGGTCTGTGAGAAAAACAGCACCTTCTTTGTTTAAACCACTATTAGTTGCTTGAATATCTAAAAAGTGTTTCTAAATGACATAGCAATGAAAGAAAAGATGATCTCAAGTGTACAATTCAGATCTAATATTCTAAAGGTCTGGTTTTAAATACGTAACCTAATTGCCCCCGAAGGACTACCTTTCTAGCCTGGCCAGTGTGGCTCAACGGTTGAGCGTTGGACTCAGGAACCAAGAGTTTGCCAGTTGATTCCTGGTCAGGGCACAAGCCTGGGATGCGGGCTTGACCCCTAATATGGGTGTGTGCAGGAAGTAGCTGATCAACGAAGTTCTTCTCTCAATGATGTCTCTCTTTCTCTACCCTCACTCTTTCTCTCTAAAACTCAATAAAAACATATTTTTCTACAATAGCCCTGACATATGGCTATCCAGATTTTGATGTATAATCTGAAGACATCATTCAAAAAATACAGCTTTACCAATTCTATTTTTTCCATACATTTTCATTCCCTTCAAGAGAATGTTCTGTGAAGTTCAAGTTCACAAATAGGATTAAAATGAGGATATCCTATGAAAACTCCACACTAAAAAGGCTAAATACTTAACATTTATAATTTTTAAACTAATAAACTGAACTACGTCTTGGTTTGGGAATGTCAGAGAGACTAACTAAAAGGGTATTGTTCTTGCATCTCTTCTCTTGTTCCCCATTCTTTAGCCTAATTTACCAATTTGTAAATAAAAAAACACATCAGCTTTAATGTGTAGGAGAAACATCTGTGAAAGTCACCAGAAGGCACCAACAAAGAGAAATTAGGCTTGTGTATTGCAGCCCATTATCTTTTCTAAAGTAAGTTGGGCTCTGGCTGGCATAGTGACTCTCCCAAAGTTGAATTATTATTAAAAACAAAAACGCAGTGACTAACAAAGCATATCTCCAAATGGACCCTTCCATTTGCCTTATATCTAAGTCACATTAAAGACAATTATTGCAGTGGCATAAAACAAATTCATAAATATTGCCTGAGACCCCAATCATGTCAAGGAACATGAGGCAGATAGTTGGGTCAAGGGAAAGTACACAGGGAGATGATGCAAAATACTACAAGAAATAAAACAAAGTAATTACTTAGGTGAGCTAATTTCCAATTTTTCCATTAGGCAGTATCATCTTTAACTCTCAAGAAAATAAAAACATGGTTGGAAATGCATTGGTTTTCAGCCAGGCTTGATGAACTTTTCATTCAACCTACCGGTATTTGTTGGGTTGTTGTTGGCTGGAGGCAGGGAACCTGCGTGGTTTCGGATGAGATTGTCTTGAGCTGATGGAGGGCCTGAAGTTGACCATGAGGGAGTACTGTATCCCGAAAGGCTCTGCTGCTGGTGGTACTGTTGTGGTGGTGGAGGTGGAAGTGGTGATGGATGGCTGAGAGCGGTATTTTGACTAGAAAACGAATTATCTCTGACTGGTCTGACAGTTGAAGCATTCTGTGAGGTAAACATTTGTTGCCCATATGGTTCACCAGCAGGCAGAGAGGGATATGAAACACTAGGATATACAGCATTAGAAATAGTTGACACAGCATAGTGACCACAAGTAGAGGGAAATCCCTGAGAAACAGCAGAAGAGTTGGCAGAGTACATAGCTGGACCACTATAATGATTCACAAAAGAGGAGTATGGCTGTGAGGCACTCATATACAAATGAGATGCTGGTGATGCAGCACCTTGGAAATATTCTGGAGTGGACCCTGCATTGTGAGGGGCAGGAAGAAGTCTGCCATAAACCTGGTCTGCTTCTGGTTGTTGGTTTGTAGTTTTAGGAGTCACCGCATTTTGTGTGGATGCTGTATAGAAACCAGAGTAGTAATCACCACACTGGCCATCCAACGGCAATGAGGTCATTTTCCCAGGTCCTTGAAAGTGATGTCCCGAGGGAATACTATAGCTTTGAGTATACAATTCATAAGCAGATGGAACCGGCATTTGATTCTGTGCTGGACCTGAAAAAGAAAAACAAATATTTACAGGGATTGGTAAGGAGATAACTAATTTTTAAGCACAGTTCCCACCTAAATGTTGTCCAGTTAATTTACTTCTCCATAATCACAAATTGTTTCAAAAGATAAGATATATACTGTTATAGATCCACTGTGACAGCTAGTCTCCAAAATGGCCTCCAATGATCCTGCCCTCCTGGTATTCACTCTCTCCCACAAAGTATCAGAATTGGTCTGTGTGACCAATGCCATATAGCAAAGGTAATGAATGGTCTATCACTTCCAACGTTAGCCCAGCAGTTGGGTGTGGGCTCTTTCTCTTGGATCATTCAATCAGGAAGAACAAACCTGCCAAATAGTGACGAGCCCTTCAGAGAAGTCCATGTGGCGAAGAATTAAACTCTCTGGCCAACAGCCAAAGAGAAACTGAGGCCTGCCTACAACCACATGAATGAATTTGAAAGCATATCTTTCCTACCTAGTCATCTTGAGATAACTACCTCCCAGGTGACAGCTTGATTGCAATCTCTTAAGACCCTAAGCCAGAACCACTCAGGTAGGCCATTTCTAAGTTCATGTCCCTCAGAAACAATAAGATTAAATATTTGTTGTTTTAAGTTGCTAAATTTGGAATATTTTATTATTCTGCAATTGGTAACTAACGCCAGCTTAGAAGAAGTTCAAATCTTTTTATATCTTTAAAAAAAAACACACAAAAAACTATGAAAGTAACAACATACCCAGTGCTAATGGTTTCTTTTATTTTTATTATTAATCCTCACCAGAGGATATTTTTCCATTGATTTTTATAGAGTAAGGAAATGGGGAGACACACACAGAGAGAAACATCAATGTGAGAGAGACACATCCATTGGTTGTTTCCTGAATGTGCCCTGACCAGGGCCAGGGATAGAGCCTGCAACCAAGGTATGTGATCTTGACAAGAACCAAACCCAGGACCCTTCAGTTCATGAGCTGACGCTTCATCCACTGAGCCAAACCAGCTAGGGCTAATGATTCCTTATGTATCGTACCAATGAACATATAACATACAATCTTATATAATGCCAACATTCGAACATCCCCCCAAGGGTTCCTGTACTGCAGTGTTTCTCAAACTTTTGACATATATGTACCCCTTCTATAATTTTTGAAACGCTGAGTACCCCTTGTACTCATGAGAAGGTAGAATTAGGCGCAGGTAAGCACGGTGCAGTGCATATCCCCACCAAACTCCGATGCAACGCGTACCCCCACCAAGCTCTTCCTGTACCCCTGGGGGTACGCGTACCATACTTTGGGAAACACTGCTGTACTGAGAGAGGGCACAGGCCAGGCTGAGGGTCTCTCTCTCTCTCTCTCTCTCTCTCTCTCTCTCTCTCTCTCACACACACACACACACACACACACACACCTCCCTCCCCCAGTGCACGAATTCTGTGCACTGGGCCTCTAATGCATATATAAGCATATACACTGTGTGGCCAGATTATTATGACCACTTTAAGTTTGTAGGCAAATTAGCTGTGCACTGCATTGTATGGGATGTGAGTGCCGAAGGCCTGTTCAAACACCTTTGCTGCCTGCAGTTACCAAGATAAAACATCTCCAATTCGCTTAGGGACACAAGGATTGTGTTGGAAAAAAGTCGAGCATTGGAAAAAAGTCATGTGGTCCGATGAATCACGTTTCCAGTTGCATCATGCAGATGGCAGAGTGAGAATTTGGCAGAAACAGCATGAGAGCATGCACCCCACATGCATGACTACAACCCTTCAAGCTGGTGGGGGCAGTGTTATGGTTTGGGGCATGTTTCCTGGCATGATTTGGGCCCTTTGACTTGTGTGGAACAACTTCTGAATAGCACAACATACCTAAGTATCCTTGCTGATCAAGTTCATCCTATCATGTTGATGGCGTATCCCAATGGAGACGGCTTCTTCCAAAAAGATAATGCGCAATGCCACGGTGCTCATATTGTGCAGGAGTGGTTTCAAGAACATGAGGGAGACTTTAACCTTGCTTAGGTGGCCCCCACCATCACCAGATCTCAAACCAATTGAGCATTTGTGAGATGAAGTTAAAAGAGCCATCAGGCAGCTGGTTCCACAACCATCAAATCTCACAGAACTGGACGGTGCTATTCATCAGGCATGGTGTCAGATTCCTTGTGTCACCTTTCAATATCCCGGGGAGTCAATGTCAAGAAGAATCACCGCAGTATTAAAGGCAAAATGTGGCCCAATGAAGTACTGATGGGTGTTCATAATAATCTGGCCACGCAGTGTATATATTTTTTTTTTTTTTTTTTTTTTTTTTAAATATATTTTATTGATTTTTACAGAGAGGAAGGGAGAGAGACAGAGAGCTAGAAACGTCAATGAGAGAGAAACATCGACCAGCTGCCTCTTGCACACCCCCTACTGGGGATGTGCCCGCAACCAAGGTACATGCCCTTGACCGGAATCGAACCTGGGACCTTTCAGTCCGCAGACCGACGCTCTACCACTGAGCCAAACCGGTTTCGGCAGTGTATATATTTTTTAACTCACATTTCATATTACAGTTCTGCAACTTATTTAACTTAATATTTCCTAGGTAACTTAAGGATTTTCTATATACTATTTCATTGTAGAGATATATTATTTACAAAATCCCTATTGACAGATATTTATTTCAGGGAATGAACTGACTTATATTTATGAGGTCAACTTCTTTGATGAATTAGTAAGATAAGTTTTTAGAAATGAAACTGGAGGTTCAAAGGGTTTGTGCTTCCCCACCTTCCCATCCCGCAACCCCAATCCTCCCAGGAAAAGGGAGAGTAACCACAAATGTGTGAGAGAAACATTGGTGGGCTGTCTCATATATATGCCCCTACTGGGGATCAAACTCGCAACCTCTATGTATGGGATGATGGTCCAACCAACCGAGCCACACCAGCCAGGGCTTTTAAAATTGACCGTATTGTCAAATACCTCTCCAAAAATATTTATAAATTCACACCTTCCATCAATAATGCTTAAGAATGTCTCATCTTACCAACACTGAGTGGCATTTTAAATCTTTGCCAATTTGATAAGGAAAAAAAGTTTTTGTTTGCATACTTAACTTCTGAGTGACGTTTAGAATCTTCTCAAATATTTCTTAGCCATTGAATGTCTTCCTCTGCTATTTGCCCTTTTCAATAGCATTGTGTTTTTCTTAGGATTTAGGAGTGCTCTTGTACTCTAAGAAATTAACCTTACGTTTTATGTGCTGTATATATTTCCCTCAGGTCATTGTTTGTCTTTTGACTCTTTTCATGGCATCTTTTCCTCTAGTATCTCAATTATTACATAGTAAAATCTTTCATGTTTGATAAATTTTTTAAATGATTTTATTGTTTTTTTTAGAGAGAGAGGAAGGAAGAGAGATAGAGAGACAGAAACACTGACAATGAGAGAGAAACATTGATCAGCTGCCTTCTGTACATCCCCTATTGGAGATCTGCTCGCAATCCTGGTTATGTTACCCAGACTGGGAATAGAACTGGTGACCTCTTGGTTTCTGGGTCAACATCCAACCACTAAGGCAAACTGGCCAGGCTGCTTGATAAATTTTTAAATCATTCTTAGTAGAACCTTCCCCATAGTATTATAAAATTATATACCCTTGTTTTCCTCTGATGCTTTTATAATATTTTCACTTTTATATTTTTATATCTTTCATCACCATAGAAGGCATTTATTTTATCACTAGAGGCCCAGTGCACAAAATTCGAGCTCGGGTAGGGTCCCTAGTGGCTGTCAGCTGCCAATCAGGACCTTCCTTTGTTCCGTGCTGCCCCCTGGTGGTTAGTGCATGTAATAAGCAAGTGATTGAACTCCCCAAAGAACACTTTGCCTATTAAGCTATTATATATATATATATATAGATTAAAATTAACATTAATCATTTCATTAATTTTGTTAATAGTCTATTATTAAACACTAGAGGCTGAATGCGTGAAATCATGTGAGACCTCAGACACTGCACTGGTGGGACCCCAACACACCGCGCTGTGAGACCAATTAATGCACTTCCTGGTCACCAGTCATTTGGTTGTTTGTTACGGCCACTGGCCTTTGATAATACAGATTTTACACTATGGCACTTGCTGTTCTAAATGCGTGCTCTACACACACACACTTCTTTAATCTTCCCCACAGCCTCTATAAGTAAACAGTATCATTATACTCTGTAAGTAAGATGAATGAGGCACAGATATTAAGCTATTCAGTAATCACAATAATAGAAAGTAACGGGGCTCGAATTTGAATCAAGTAATCTGGCTCAAGTCCATACTTTTAAACAATAATCTGCCTGCCCCTCATTACACTAAATCTGGCTGCCTTTTTTTTTTTTTTTGCCTGGTCATTTGTCCCAAACAATGGAATTCTAGCCTCAGTTCCAACTAAGGACAAATTTTATCCTAGAATCACATTTTATAATCTTGTGATAATACTTTGTAAACAGTGGGATAATTGGATAAATTAAAATTGATTTTACTTGCTCCTTTTTAGTATTTTAATGAGACTTCCAGACAATTTAAAGTTACACATGCAGCTTGCATTAAATTCCTACAGAATGCTGCTATAAGACAGAAATACATTAAGAGAAAAGGAGCATTAACAGTTTCCAACCTCGGCCCAGTAATTATAAAAGCATTTTAAGTTATTACCAAATTTCATTAATGCTACTAATTTCTAAGGAAAAACAACTGGCTTTCTGGGATAATTTAGATTCAGATCTTTCTTTGGATTCAAAATGGCTCTGCAACATATATGAAAAGACATCTGGTATTTTATTAACAGCAACCAAGGTTATAAAGGAGAGAATAAGTTAGTTACATATGTGGATAGTCAAATTTTTGAAAATAACTCTAGAAGTATTTTTCTTATCACCAAGGTGATGTAGAATCATTGCAAAAAGATTTACAGAAAATGATGAAATAAACATCAGCTGTGATTAACATTTTGATG